GGGGAGGAGGTGTCTTAGGGAGGGTGTGTGGCCTGAGAAAAGTCATAGAATTGTAGAGTTGAAAGGGGCCCTGTTTAACCTTTGCAATGCAGGAATACGCAGCTGTCCCATACAAGGATTGAACATGCAACCTTGGCATCATCAGCACTATGCTCTAACCAACTGAGCTATCCGTGCACTGAGTACCAAGAGCCATTTGGAAAGTTCTGGACAGCTGCATTTGCCCTCACCTCATCTCAGTTCTCCACTCCTACTTTGATGCAAGGTTCTTTACTAGCCCAAGAATTGCCACTCTCAAGCCTCTTGAGTTGCATTAGCACAGCATTCTACCAATAAAGCTTCAAAACTGTTCAAACCATTTGCTTCCCATCCCTTTTAGCAATCAAGCTAATTACACCTACGAATAATGCTGCACGAATTAATAATGCAGCTAATAAAGCAGGAACCAGCAACCCTGAAGACCACGTTTATGAAACCGTCTGATGATTGACACCCATGTTTTAATATACAAGTTGAGATTTCTTAAGTATCCCAACTGGATAATGAAGTGGCTGTGAACGGAACACAATGAGTTCTGAATTATGTGACAAGGTACAATAAATCACTCTCCCCCCTCCCTCCCATGCTGCTTAATTTATGCGAGTGAATGGCTCATTTCGCTGTAGAACTGCTGTTGTTCCTCATATTAAATAAGCAAACCTGGAGGGAACAAGTAGGACAAAGATAACCCTTTTGCAGCTGGTGCTTAGCACCTGTGTCTGACACGTTGCACTGAAGTTTAAATAGGCCTGCTATTGGCCATGTCGGGGGAGAGGGAGGGAAATGTAGCAAGAATATAATATTGTCTTTGTTTGGCTCTCCTTGGAGGGTTAAAGAGAAAAAAAGAGACAAGAAATCTGCTAGCAGAGTTCTCCTTTAGTAAATCATCCACACAAGACTCCGGAGTCTTGCAACAGTTTGGATTACAGGTTAAAGTAAAACATGCCTATAAATTATTCAGTCAGACTAGGCAATGATGTATGAAAGCCACACACTGTAGGAAGGGGAGAAACAACGGCAAAGATTGCTCTGAAGAGGTGGGGGATAAACCTTTCATTTATTACATTTGGAACTCAAGAGTGACATTGGGTGAGTTCTGTATGGGCAATATTCGTAATGCTGTAAGCAGATGCACTCGTGCATACATGTTTAAAATTAAGCTGCAACTCAGCAGTCCGTTTATTCAAAAATGGATTTACTTCTGAGGACTGCTCAGGAAAAGTGCATTTAAAATTTCAACTTCTCTTGAATCAAGAGCCGTATTTTGTCAAAAGAGATTGGGTTTTGGGGGGCGTGAGGAGAAGAAGTCTTTACTCATTTTAATTGCCACAATTCAGAAGCTTTCGGTACAAATAGCGGTCAACTGCTGTTCTTGCCTTGTAATCCCACCCAGGAGATATTTCACAGTGTGTCTCACTCCTTACGAGATTTACATTAGTAGACGTCTTAAAATATGTCTGGAATGCATTAGCAGCATGGTAGAAATTATCAGCATACTGCCACCTTGGAATATTTAAAGTGGGAGGTTGGGACTGAAATCTTTCTGTGGCCTAGATGCAGGAATGGTAGGTATGGTGATTATATGAGAGTGTTATGTCAACAAAAAGGAAAATTATATGAAATACTTCTTATCTAAAACTTTTTCAATCTAGCCTCAGGCTTACATTTGGTAATGAAAGCATGTTGGTCACCCCAGTGAGTGACCTACACTGGGAGAAGGGCTGGAAGAGTCTGACAATGCTAATTCTCCCAGATCCCATGATGGCTTTTGATATGATCAGCCATAGTATCCTTCTGTAGAGTAAAGGCCTTTGTTTCAATAGTTCTGTTCCTAACTGGAGAGCTGATTTCAAGAAGGCAAGTACCATGAGGCTCAACCCTGTAGCACTTGCACCATCACATCCTATCTCCCATCATTGTTAACATAGATATGAAACTGTTGAGGGAACATTTCCAAGGATGAAACTCTTGCAGTGAGTTGGTGTGGGACTACGTCTGAATACTGTTCAGAGGTTTCTACAAGCCCAGTGCATCTGACAGTGGCAATAATAAAGGGTGGTGTATCATTCCATGAAGGGACACGGGTGGCGCTGTGCTTTAAACCACAGAGCCTAGGACTTGCCGATTAGAAGGTCGGCGGTTCGAATCCCCGCGACGGGGTTAGCTCCCATTGCTCAGTCCCAGCTCCTGCCAACCTAGCAGTTTGAAAGTACGTCAGAGTGCAAGTAGATAAATAGGTACTGCTCCAGCGAGAATGTAAATGGCTTTTCCGTGCACTGCTCTGGTTCACCAGAAGCGGCTTAGTCATGCTGGCCACATGACCCGGAAGCTGTATGCTGGCTCCCTCGGCCACCACGGTGAGATGAGCGCCACAACCCCAGAGTCGGCCACGACTGGACCTAATGGTCAGGGGTCCCTTTACCTTTACCTTATCATTCCATACCCCCCCCCAAATAAACAAATAGCACTGATTTACCTTTCAAGGTTGTTGTAAGGACTGTTGAAGTAGCATATATGAAGTGTTTTGAATCATATAAAAGGTAAAGGTAAAGGGACCCCTGACCATTAGGTCCACTATTTTAGCAGTTTACTTGTGCAGGGCCGGGAGAAGCATCTTGTGATATTTAAGTACCTTTTGGGTATGATACAATACCCTATGCAATGCCCAAGATTTAGCTGAAGACCAACAGGAAAGCTACACAGTCAAACACACACACTGGATTCTAAAGGCTTTGTAGTTTAATCTGCCAAGCACTGAGCTCCTGCCCAACTGTTCACACATTCCTTTGGAATCCACATGAGATCCATGCTTGATGAATTATGCCCCGTAACAGAAAACATTACCGGGTAACTTCTGAAAGTAAGGTCACATTAGTAAATTTATAAAGAACCTGCATCATTTGCTTTACAAAACAATTCCAATAAGAAGCAGCCCATTAGGGTTGCTGAATTACCACTATAGACTTGTTAATTAGTCATTGTTATTAACAATAAGATTGAATAAATTAAATACCAGGCAGTCATCATTCTGCAACACAGAGAAATGAACTGAAAGATTTATGCCCCACAACAGTTGTGAAAATGTATTATGTAATTACTACTCCATCTGAGATTAAACAGAGACAAGGCAGGCCTTTACGCAGCATCAAGGAAACTTTCTACAATAAGGGAATGCCCACTGCTTACACTGCTATCCAGAGGCCCTTAGGAAACACAATCACGTGTATATTTCTTCATTTAAGAAGGGCACCATCTTGGATTTTACTCTTGAACTACCTTTTAGTGTGGAAGAAAAGATTCAAAGATCCAGTCTTGGGGATACCTTTAAGGTTAAATCACAAAAACAAAGAAGCAGTACATGTGCTTTAATTCTTCTTGTTATTAATACTTCACAATAGTCACAGGAATTTTATCAACACAATCCTACGTTCAGCCCTTTTATTATTATTTCCAGAGTCTCGTCAAAGTCAGGCAAATCAATCTTTATCCATCTACCACTTTTACCGGAGGTATGTACAGAAAAAGTTTTCTTTGTTTTATGTATATTATGTATATTATTATGACATTCTCATTCACTTAAATTATGGGCTTCTGGGACATACATATAAGCGTTGGTGTTGATTCCCAGTAGAGGAATCAAGTGGATACATCAGCCTGGACTTTAATCAAGTAACTGTCTTGGGGTCAAAATTACAAGCAGCATGGGAGGGTTGTGGTACCGGGAGGTGGGGCTACTAATCATTTTCCTCAGCATTGATTCTGTTTGAATTTAACATTGAATAAAATGCATGTACTTTCATAATCCCTGCATCTACCCTCTCTGATGGAACCTATGTATCAATGCTCTATTTCTTTGCTATGTGGACTTCTCAACCCCGACTATTCCATCCCACCCCCCAATATCTTTCTAAGTGCAGTTTGCATAGTTGCACAGACTATTCTCACCTTGAGTCTTCCCAAGCATAGGACGCTATAGGGATGTTATGTTAAGGACTTTTCGAAGGTCTGGTTGTCAAGAAGACGGACAATAAGTGTGTGAAACATAAATCCTAAAACGCCAAGATACCAGGGCACCCAAGATAATGGACGATGGGCAAATAGAAGATAACAAAGCGAAGCAAGAGAGTTTTAGCTCCCTAACTTATGGTTTTTCCCTTTCATGTATACGTTCTGTGAGCTAATGCCTATACATTTCTGAAAAACCCTTTAAAGGTTTGCTAAACTGTGCCTCAGAGTTCTCCCAACTGGTGGTTCTCCGAACACCTGGTATGAAGTAGCTGTTGCTATTGCAATAGCTTCTCTCTCAATAAACTAGGTCCCTGACGGATGCTGAGCTTGTTTAACTCTCTTAGTTGCATTTTTCTGTAGGGTGTTATTCCCTCACCAGGGCATGAACCATTAAGAGGTGGTTTAGAAGTAAATTCTTACCACAGTTCTTAGACTTAAGTCCATCTGTGACACTATTTTGAAACTGCTAGGGCCATCTTGTTGTTGTTTAGTCGTGTCCGACTCTTCGTGACCCCATGGACCAGAGCACGCCAAGCACTCCTGTCTTCCACTGCCTCCCGCAGTTTGGTCAAACTCATGCTGGTAACTTCGAGAACACTGTCCAACCATCTCGTCCTCTGTTCATGGAGTTTTTTTGGCAGGGATACTGGAGTGGCTTGCCGGTTCCTTGTCCAGGTGGATCACGTTTGGTCAAAACTCTCCACTATGACCTGTCCATCTTGGGTGGCCCTGCACGGCATAGCTCATAGCTCCTCTGAGTTATTCAAGCCCCTTCGGCACAGCAAGGCAGTGATCCATAGCTCAGTGGTAAATAATCTGCATGTGAGCAGCCAGAATTTCCAGTTAGGACTGGAAATATTCCCTTATCTGAAACACTTGGGAACTATTGCTAGCCAGTGCTATAAACACTGCAGAACTTCGTTTATCAATGATTTGACTTTTTTTTTTTTTTTGGAAGACAAGCATGTCCTTTGTTATGACGAAGAATGATGCAATACACAGTACAAGCAAGCAAATGCATGCATGAGAAACTAGCCACTGTGAATAATCCCAGTCTACCTAGGTACCAGCAGAGGGCTCTAACCACTTCATGAACACAAAACATTTATATGTGGGAATAATCAGAGTATGAATCGGCTAAGGACAGGACTCAAGTGCATTTTGATGGAAAGCAGATTGGCTTTAGTGAGAGCATAGCATTTCAAGCAAACATCTGCCAGCAGAAATAACCGCACAGTTCTATAGTGAGTGTAAACTTTCCAGACAACGCAAAAATACAAGATCACTTAGAGATACTTGTGCTAGCAGCAATTTAGCAGTGACTAAGGAACATGAGGCAGGGATTAATTGTCAAGTCATTGCCATCTTCCCTGCTGTACTTCTTGGTAGAAAGACAGGTTCACAAAACATCAATGGGATAAAATTATCCTCAGTGGTCAATAGTTTCAATCAGAGTTTCACGTTTGTTTAATTTGGGACAGGGTTCAATTAGGGAGACTGAATAGGACTACTTGTTCTGCTTTGTTTTCATAGCAGGGCTCCTGATCCTTCCACAGCGGCATCACACAGAAATTCAACAGGTAAAGCATTTTCCAGCACAGTCACAATAATGAGGGGATAGGGTGGAAATCACCTGAAGAATTTCTGTTACTCATAAATCTGTTGTAGACCCTGGACTTTCGCTAGGTAATATGTGACAATTCTGGTAAATCCCAGTTAAATAAATTGGTCAGATAGCCTAGCAAAGTATCATCTGGCACCTTTTTTCTTTTTCTTTTTACAAATCCTTAGGTACCAGGCAAAAACATTCCTGCTCTCTCATGCCTTTAGCTAATTAAACAATCTATGGCCTTTAAAACTGTGTGTTTTGTTGGTTGGTTATTATGGTATGTATTTTTGTGTTTTATACTGTAAACCACCCTATGATCTTCAAATGAAAGGCGGTATTGAAATTGAAATTTTAATAATAATAATAATAATAATGGCAGGAAATGGTGGGTTGGAGAGAAAGGGTTCCCATCACCAACAACTTGGCCAGTACACAGAGATCTGCAGGCAGAGAGGGTACGCACCCAGACAGCCTCCTGGCAGAACAGCTGTATTCCACATCTGGCAAAGGAGTTAATCTATTGAATGACCCAAACTAATTGCATTATATTAATTCAGCCAAGCATGATCATAGGGAAAGCTGACAATCACAGACGCTTGATGGAGAACGTTGTATGCAGCACAGCTGCAGCTAATTGACTTTAGCAGCGAACATGCTCTCTCTTCAGCATACCCGCTTCCTGCTCTGCCTCTCTGCAGCCATATGACCATCGAATGAGATGCTTTGCCTTGGGCTTGCCAACTTTTCAGCAAGGCTCTGTAACTGTGCCTTTCGCTGACCTATCCAGTTTCCATACAGTTTCATGTGCAGAAAGCCACACGTTAAGCTTTTCGCCATATGGAGATAAACAGTGTCACCCGATGTTTGCCACCAAATTACTCTAAAAGTCGCAGGGACAGGCAAGGCCAGGTTTGTTTCTGGTCTGCTAGAAACCTTAACTTTGATTTATTATATTAATTGGTTTCATTCCAGCTTCCAGTGCTTACAGGTAAAATGCTAGGGCCGTAATTAAATGCAGAGAGGAATTATGAGTGCTGTAATGTACAACTACAATGGAATGCTATCAGATATCTGGCTGCTACTCTTGAGAAAGCAGCAAAGCAGGCTTCAACAGTGTGTGCCCCACCAAACCCAATGCATGCTACAGCTAGGCACTGTGGCCTTCTAGGTGCAATTTCCAGCTTTTGCAGACCGTGCAAGCGGCAAAAGAGACTGATTGTGGAGGCACTGGCAGGTCACCCTATACAAACACTTGGCTTGGTGGACCACTACAAACTATTTGGGTGTGACACGAAGTGTAATCATGGTAAGTGCATGCAAAAACTGTCTCCTTGAGTATAAAGAATCATGAAGTTTCAGGAAACTGAACTATCAAATTCTGTAATAGCTATAAGCTACATTCTGATGATTCCCAGTCTTTTCAGAAACTTCAAAGAAGTCAAACCTTGTTATTTTAAATTGTTCCCTAGAAACTCTACACACACACACACACACACACACACACACCCTTTCTATTACAGCTTCTCTTTATATCATTCTGCTAACATCTCTCTTCCCCATTTCTCTGCAAGGTAAAGTATTACCCCCTTGTACTTACCTACCAAGGCTGCGAGGAGATTGATTGTTCTTAGCAGACAAACCTGCAAGGCTTGGGTGCTTTTGGAACAGGGTATTAAGTCACATCACAAGCAGGCTTGGTGGTTGTTTTTTCAGAAAAACAAAACACAGGTGTGGTCAACTATTAATTAAACTTCTGACAAAATGGGGACTTCTACATCCTCAGCCCTGACTGACACACTTCAGCTAAATACAATGCCAGCATTCGCACATTATGGTATACCATAGTTGCAGCAGAAAGTTAAATAGTTTTCACCTGAGAAAGGAGCAAGGTTGTAAAGAAAATAAACAAACAGTTATTAAATGGATAATAATAAATGGACTGATTAAAAATTCCAACACAACTCCTATACTTCAAGACAATTTTAAATCCTAAACAATGGATTGTCTCTGAAACTCTGCTTACTTAAAAAAAACACCCAAAAACCCTGTGCTATTATTTGATTCTGCTGGATAAAAGAGAAAGGGCTGGACACAATTCTGGTGGAAATAATCATGACTGCCAGGAGACTTTTGTAATGTGCATACATTAGAAATATTTAGGAAAGCAAAAGGAATTAACATCAAGTTCCTGGAGTGTGTAGGAGTAGTAGGAGTAAGCTTTAATGGAAATTTCATTGCAGTGTGACTCTACGGAAAAGAAATTCTATCTGGAGATGAACGTGCTGATAATACAAAATGAAAGCCTCATTCTTGGGTCTCATAAGATACATTTTCCCTTTTTGCGTAGAAAGAAGTGGGAGTGCAAAATGAGGATTAAAAGGCTGGAAAGTATGGCACACGTCAAACATGGGTAGTCTAAGAATTGTGCAATGTACTCAGTGTATAATTTTTTGAACGAAATTGGAGGTACTAACATTTTTAATCTTCTTACGGTGTTTTTCTGTTGCAAATATAGCTTTGAAATTCTCTGTTACTAGAAAGACGCAATTTGCACATGCTCAAGAAGCATTTGATCTGATGTATAATCATCATCATCATCATCATTTATTATTTATACCCCGCCCATCTCGCTGGGCTTCCCCAGACACTCTGGACAGCTTCCAACAAAACACCAAAATACAATAACCTATTAAACATTAAAAGCTTCCCTAAACAGGGCTGCCTTCAAATGTCTTCTAAAAGTTTGGTAGTTATTTTTCTCTTTGACATCTGGAGGGAGGGCGTTCCACAGGGCGGGTGCCACTACCGAGAGGACCCTCTGCCTGGTTCCCTGTAACTTGACTTCTCGCAGCGAGGGAACCGCCAGAAGGCCCTCAGCGCTGGACCTCAGTGTCCGGGCAGAACGATGGAGGTGAAGACGCTTCTTCAGGTATACTGGACCGAGGCCGTTTAGGACTTTAAAGGTCAGCACCAACACTTTGAATTGTGCTTGGAAACGTACTGGGAGCCAGTGTAGGTCTTTCAAGACCGGTGTTATATGGTATCGGCGGCCAGTCACCAGTCTATCTGCCGCATTCTGGATAGTTTCCAGGTCACCTTCAAAGGTAGCCCCACATAGAGCTCATTGCAGTAGTCCAAGCAAGAGATAACTAGAGCATGCACCACTCTGGTGAGACAGTCTGCAGGCAGGTAGGGTCTCAGCCTGCGTACCAGATGGAGCTGATAAACAGCTGCCCTGGACACAGAATTGACCCGCGCCTCCATGGACAGCTGTGAGTCCAGAATGACTCCCAGGCTGCGCATCTGGTCCTTCAGGGGCACAGTTACCCCATTCAGGACCAGGGGGTCCTCCACACCCGCCCGTCTCCTGTCCCCCCAAAACAGTACTTCTGTCTTGTCAGGATTCAGCCTCAATCTGTTAGCCGCCATCCATCCTCCAACCGCCTCCAGACACTCACACAGGACCTTCACCGCCGTAGAAGAACTGGATGTCAGGGGCCACCGAAGGCTGTTTAAATCTCCTGGAAACGGACTTGAAGGAAGCCTGATTGTTCCCCCAGGCCCGTCCGTAAAGAGTCCTGCCCTCCATACCAGCCTGTCATTGGCCAATCTGGCAGACTGACATGGAGCGGGATTTAAACCCGGAAGCGAGCTAAAGAGTAGCCCCCAGCATCCAAGCCCTGTATCATTTGGGGGGGACCATTCTGCCACTCACCATTCTACCTTCTTCTGGGTCCAAAAGGACCCACGCTTTGGCGATCATGCGTCTATTGGCCGTGCCTAAAATGGTCGCCGCCTGTACAGTAATTTGTTTATACAGTGGTACCTCGGGTTACATACGCTTCAGGTTACAGACTCCACTAACCCAAAAATAGTACCTCGGGTTAAGAGCTTTCCTTCAGGATGAGAACAGAAATCGTGCTCCGGCAGCATGGCGGCAGTGGGAGGCCCCATTAGCTAAAGTGGTGCTTCAGGTTAAGAACGGACCTCTGGAATGAATTACGTACTTAACTTAACTACCACTGTATGGTAATTGTTGTTTTATTGTTAACTGCCTTGAGTGCTTATTGCAGAAGGGTAGGGTGGAAATGTAAAGCAACAACAACAACAATTCATTGCAGAATTATGAACTGTGTTGTGTGATACGTTATGGATGTCTTCAGGTTTCCTACTGCTTATATATTCATGACCAAAGTTAAACAAAGGGAAGAAGGAAGAATCTGAATTATTGAATTGCAGGAATATGATCCAAGGGCAGGTTTATTAAAAATGCCACAACTTTTTGAGAGTTTTCAACTATGAGCTGTGCTTCGGTTTGGGTTCGGATTTTACCCCTCGAAAGCCCCCAATGCGTAAATATGTTATGCTTCGATTTATTAATAATATATGAGAGCCGCACCATCTCTCACATGTTGCAAATAATCAGAGCTACACTGCTAGCAAGATGCTAATGGATTGCTGATTCCCCCGATGCCAGATCATCCACTAGTTACTCAGGTGGTTGCTAAGACACTGTCCTGCCAAGTCTCATTCATGTAAAATAGAATTTATACACAGCTTCCGTTTCCAAGCTGCACATCTACTAAACTCAGGAGACTCACAATGGATTTGACGCTGCTCTTATCGATACTGTGTCAATGTCTAGAGAGAAGCATTATCTCTTATTCACAAGGGCTGAGATCTGAAATTGCTGGTGATTAATATTCTGATAACAATAAGTTCTTGGAATATATTTCGGGGCAATAAGTCTCTACAAGTCAAGAACTAATTCTAATAATGCTAATAATTTATTATTAAGTGTTATACAAATGCTGTCTATAGCTGTGATTTAGAACCGAACCAAAGAAGATTGAGTGGGTTGAAAATGGACAAGACTATACACCCATGAAGGGTAACACTGCAAGTTCCCACAGCTGGTAGCTGCTGGACAGCAAACTTGTTTTAACTTATCTTTTACACTATTAACACGAAATGCAAAGCATAAAACTAGTACTATGACACAGCGTCAGAAGACAACTACAGAAATGTAATAAAAGATAACATCTAAAACTATTGCTACTCCTAAATAAAATAAAGGGGACAGAGTTCAAGGCACCACAAATATAGTTTTAATTTTAAGATTATCAATAGGATTCATTTTTTTAAAATCACCATTTGGTTTTTAATGAACAGCTTTTGGATATGATTTTTAAGAAGCACCAATATTTTATTTAGGAGTAGCAATAGTTTTAGATGTTATCTTTTATTACATTTCTGTAGTTGTCTTCTGACGCTGTGTCATAGTACTAGTTTGTTTGTTTGTTTGTTTGTTTGTTTGTTTGTTTGTTTGTTTTAAAGGGGCCAAGAAACATTAAGTGTTTTGCAACATTAGTCATAGGACCTTGGGCTGGTAGGGGGTAGCTGACCCAGTGTGCAGCAAACCTCAACAGAAATGCAATCCATAAAAAGTTAAATATGCTTAAATTTCAATAGGACTACCATTAGCACTAATGCTATTAATTGCTTAATGTCTTCTGGCTTGCAGCCTGTCAGCACTGGGGAGCAAAATGTGATTGCACCAAGTACTGAAATAGATTTTAAAAGAACACCACAAATAAATAAATAAATAAATAAACAAATAAATAAATAAATAAAATCCGGCTTCTTTTTCTATCTTACTTTATCCTCAAACTATCACTCCCACAGCTATAGAGCCGCCACTGCCATGAGCCAATGCGATTGTCATGGCATTTTGTTCTAGATCTTGAATGGCATTTTTCTCCCCGATGGTCTTTAGTAGAAGCTGTATAGGTCTGATTTTTGCCCACTGCTTCACAGGGCACTTGGGTGATTCTTCCTTTTCAACTGCATGCAGTGTGAGGACATAATGAAAAATATTGCCATTTGTGAAATGGAGTGAAGGTCTTGTCTCTTTCAGAATGCACAATCAGCCTGGCCTCGGGGCTGGAATTTCAATTTGCCCATGGAGCTTTACGTGGAATACCTAAATAGGAAAGTAAGTAAAGCATTAAGACAGAAGGAATGGCAAGAATCTTGCTCTGAGCACTCTAGACAGGGTAGTGCACATTATAAAATACTTAAGTACGCACGGTTATTCAGAAAAAAGCAGGTAGAAGACACTATCCACTAAGAGAATATAATTAGCAAGGTTTGTCTAGTAATACAGGTACAGAATGCTTGAGTGAAGCCTGAAAAACAATCAATTTATTTTGAGTGATTGTTGCTATGCTATAATTATCTCATTTGGTGGCAAGGAGAGCAACCAATCAATCATTTAACTGATTGCATAATTATTTAATAGTGCACACCTTCGAACCACTGGCATGCTGTGCTGTGGAAAGGCAGTGCTATCAATTGTTTCCAAAGGGTGCATTCGTTAAGTTTTGTTTCAGAGAAGCGGGGGCGGGGGGAGCACTTCAAACATGGATCACAATTTCATCTAGAAGCCAATGGGTGCAATCCATTGCAGATACATCCAAAGGCTAGTCATGCATGTCCATCAGGCTTCTCACTTTCTGTCAGAGGATTATTTCCAAAGCTATCCTGGGTTTTGGAGATGGTTGTACAGGGATCTGCTGTTGAAAGGAGGGGACTTAGATTGTTTGGGACATGCAGATGTCAAGGCTTTGCACTCTGTATCCAGGGACAATACGTTATTTATACATGAATGTGAGAAGTGTTGTATAGAGTACAGACAACTGAACGCTCACTATTAACATATGAACATAAGATAAGCCTACTGGATCAGGACAAAGCTTTATCTAGTCCAACATCCTGTTCAAATCAACACAGACTGTGGAAACTTCACACTGGACTTCAAGCATCTGGCATTGTGTGCCTCCCCATTCTTCCTCTAGACTCTGGGTCCTTGGTTTCCAAATGAGATGCAAAAAGCTGCTCTCATCAGAAAAGAGATTTGGGGAGCCATGTCATCAGCTGATGTTGGTCCACTGTGCTTCATTAAGTCCAGGGTCAACGCAGCCGTCTACCAGAGATTTTGGAGCACTTTATGCTTCCTTCCGCTGATGAGCTTTATAGGGATGCTGACTTCATTTTCCAGCAGGACTTTGGTACCTGCCCACACTGCCAAAAGTACCAAAACCTGGTTCAATGCCCATGGGATTACTGTGCTGGATTGGCCAGCAAACTCGCCTGACCTGAACCCCATAGAGAATCTATGGGGCATTGCCAAGAGACAGATGAGAGACATGAGACCGAGCAATGCAGAAGAGCTGAAGGCTGCTATTGAAGTATCCTGGTCTTCCATAACACCTCAGCAAAGCCACAGGCTGATAGCATCCATGCCACGCCGCATTGAAGCAGTAATTGATGCAAAAGGGGCCCAAACCAAGCACTGAGTACATATGCATGCTTCTACTTCACAGAGGTCCAATATCAGTCTATTTGCAATCCTTGTTTTGCTTATTTCATTTAATATTCTAATTTTCTGAGATTGTTAATTTGGGGTTTTCATCAACTATACGCCATGATCATCACAATTATAACAAATAAAGGCTTGACATATCTCGCTTTGCATGTCATGAGTCTATCTCATATATTAGTTTCACCTTTTAAGTTGAAATACTGAAATAAATGAACTTTTCCACGATATTCTAATTTTCCGAGTTTCGTGTGTGTGTGTGTGTGTGTGTGTGTGTGTGTGTGTGTGTGTGAATGAGACCTTGGAAAAGGTATCAGTTTCTCCCATTCCTCTTGTAGGAGTGTTATCAAACTATGCCTATCTGTTTTATCAAGCCGTTATTCTTCTAGATGGAAGTAAGAAAGCCAAGGATGGTGCATGTCTGTACAAATAAGGAGAATTCCTCTCCAGTAAATCTAATTCCTTTTATCTGTACGTCTCTACCCCTGAAGTTTGCAACAGGCTTGTCTAAAGTTTGAAATGGGCTTTCATGCTGTCTGCAGTGCTTTGTCTCATGTTAATTAATATCCCAGGCCGTCCCATCAGTTGTACAGATGAAACATCTATCCTGCATGCTGAGCAGCCAGCCGCTGAATGCTTTTGACACCAGCTGCTACCCTTCCATTAGCCTGTTCGCAGGTCACAGCCCAGGAACTGCAACATGCTGATCCTTTCGGCATGCGCCTGGTGGAATGACCAGCTTGGCCATAGCTGACATAGCAGCAGTCAGCTAGACCTAGGGTAGGGAAGCAGGGATTGTAGAACTGGTACGGGTGCTTCACTGGGATGAGGAAGAGGACAGAAGAAGCGAGATCCCTGACTAAGGTAATGGGAGCAACAAAGGAGGGATGAGTACATTGTAGTAGGGTGGCGGAGAGTAAAATCTTCAAAGGCAGGCAGGCTAGCGTATGTCAGAATCATAAGTGATGCACTGAGAGGTGCAGTGAGCTACCAGCCTATACATCACCTCTCTCCATGGACCTCACTGAATCTGGAACAAATTAAAAACACAGCTGAGAGAAATGGGACAGGATATGAGTATCAGTGTTCTCATTCTGAGTCTTAAAGCTGGCAGGTGCCACGCACCTGGGATGATGCCAGCTGTGTGAGCTTTCTGAATAAAAATCTGGTATTTGGAGAGGGTGGGAATCGGTGTGGGGAAATCCACTAATATGCCACTAATTGTGCAGCACAAGATCTGGGGTATATGGTAACTATGAAGCTTTCAGAAACCTTAAAGAAAATAATATACCTGCCCACACATATTAGTTAGCATTAGTTTTGCTAACATTAGTCACACTTCCTGCTTTAATTCTTTTGGGGGGGGGCATTTCTGCATGACAGGCTGTGAATGACAAAAACAAAAAACGAAATCAGGTAATTCTTTTTCACCCATTTAAGTAACATGTTCCATGTGAGGCTTGAGATGGACTGTCACCATGGCAGTGGATTCTGTCCTACTGTCAGCTCCGGTCAAATAGGTTTTGTAGGTTTCAGAAAAGAGAGCCAAGAGTGGAGCTGACTGCACACACTATAAGAATAAATAAATAAAAACAGCCTTTATTGTTACTTTCCTTTTCAAGCAAAACAAAGGGATCGCAAATAAATAATCAGTGTTAAATAGTACCACATAATAGTCTGATCTGCGTGTCACAATAAGCCAAATTTTGTTTTCAGGGGTTGTCTGTATCCAGCTCCCCATCCATGCAATGAACCATAGTTTAGCTTATCATGATGTGTGAACCAAAGAGTTGTGCTAACAAAAGATC